CAATCAATCAATCAATCAATCGAAGATGTCTTGCATGTCTATAGTGATTATAATCACTTTCTTCCCAACAATTAATATTGTTTTTACATTGTATATAAAAAACATTATCAGGTTTATTGCAAAGCATTTGAGCAGGGCTCCACTATGTTGAGGGTTGATAATACTATGTTTCAGGATTGTCCAGTTTAATTACTTAGCGATTATTCTTTCCAAACCTTTTTCTATACAGAAAAGCAGAATAATAGGTTTCTATGATCTTGCGGATATCATATCCTTTTTCCCGATTTTGGGTAATATAATTATTTCAATTAGTTTCCAGGTTTTCGGGAAATAATTATATTCAAGGTATTTCTGATAAAGTTGTTTTAGTGGGTCTTTGAAGTGGTTTCAACAGATCTTGAGGATTCTGACCATGACTTGATCAGTTCCTGGGGATGTGCTGGATACTCCAATGATGCTTATTTCGACTTCTTTCAGTATAAGCTAGGTGTTCCAGGGTAAATATCTGCTTTCTTTTTATTGGTTTTTTAATAGGTTGTATTCCAGGTTATCCTCCGCATTAAAGCAGTCTAGAATCTCAGTTCTGAATACTTCAGCTTTTTCTATTGTATCTTCTATTACTATTCTGTTTGAGATGATTGGAGGGTTTTTGAGGTTCGGAGCTAGTTTGTGTCAGCCAACTATTTTATATAAATCCTTGTCACTAGAGATATTGTTTATAATATATCTCCAGTAATTGTGTTTGACTGCTTTGATTATTGTTTTGAATTCCTTTGTTGCTGTAGTAAACAGATTCTTTGATATAGTTTGTTTGCTCAGGTGTTCGGTATAGACCTTTTTGTATTCCATTGTCTACCAGGGTGTTGCCTTGCCTTTTCCTTTGTCTATAGTTCCTATTGCTATTATTGCTTACTTAATGATTTGTATAAATTGATTAACAAAGTTATCTATCCTTTCTGGAGTATCGAAGGTATCGTTTGTAGGCAAATATACCACTTTGTTTACTATCAGTTCTGTTAATCACAATAATTCTGTTTCCGGAATACAGATATTGTATTGGTCAAGAGACTTGACCCTTTTACTAGGTATTGTTGTTATTAGGATATAATGATCCAAGCTATTGTAAAGGTTGTGCCAGACCCTGGTTTTTGTAAAGGGTATATTGGAGAACGAAAGGTTAAGCATGTTTCCTCCTATGTAAGTAGGTACTCCTTTTTCTCCAATGTATTCTAGTTCAGCCAGATCTGTTCAGGCTACTAGTTTATTCCCTTTGTAAAGGTTTTCCGATCCAGGTTGCTATATTTTATGTATAGTATTGAAATCGTTTCCAATGAGATACTCTGGGGGCAGTTATAGTTCAGTGATATATAATAGTATTTGTTTTGTTTGTGGTTGTTAGTATACATTCAGTATAGAATACCTGTTTATATCTATCCAGAGTATATTATGGCTTTTGATTAGCTGTTTCTGTTAGATTCGCAATTTTGCTCCTTTTCTGATATATGTCAGTACTCGGGTTGTTCTGCTTCTCTTTGTTCAGGGGATGTTCCTGTCTATAAATCCATTGGTACATATAAGATCTATCCGGGGTATGTTTTGGTTTTTGTAAATAAAAACGTGAAGGGTTCCTGTACACATAGGACATCTGATTTGTTTTCAAATGCTATTTGTAGTAGGGTATCGTAGGCCTCCAGTATTCTGCCCACGTTTGCCCAGTAAATCGTTAGATCCTGTATTCTGGGTTGTTGATGACTATGCATGTTATCTTGACACATCCGGCGTTTATTCATGTGTGTTGGGTTAGAGGTTCTCTCCCATTTCGATATCCTATTAGCTATTGATTAGGATCTTTTTGTTGAGGTTCGTGTTTATCAAAGGTTTTTGTTTTGTTCGGCTCATCACTGCCATGCCTCTCCTGAACTTTGTTGTCATTGGGCTGTTCTTGTTCTTTTTGTAAACAATGATCTGTTCTTCCCGGCGTTTTGGTACTAGGGTGGATGTGGATGTAGATATAGCTGTGTCTGGGGTAGGCCCTTCCTTAGGGTTGTCCTTTGACTTCTAGTTAGCGAGTGTTGCCGTTTCCATTGTCAGAGCTGGTTTTTGTATAGCCTTAAGTTGTGGTTTGGTAGATGCTGTGACTTTACCGTCCACTACTTTAGATGCTGCTGGGCAGTTCTGGTGTCCTACCGCAAAAGGTCCGAAGCAGTTAGCACATTATGCTTTTGCTATATAATTGGGTCCTTGTGGGCCTTCGTGTGTGTCTTTTCGAACACCACAGTTTGCACAGCGGGTGAGCCTGGTGCATCTTGTTGGGTTGCACCAGCCTTGGCAGCCGGCAAAAGTAGATTATATTACAACTATTTACTAGAATAAGATTATAATACAAAGTAGGTTCGCTACGCCTACAAACGCTTTCCCAGCTCACTATGATAAAGCTACTAGTACTAGACTTTTGTAGAATCTTCTGACTACATATAAACCATCTCCCATATGAATGCCTTCGGAGGCTCCGGCCCGTATCAAACCTTTGCTTCACGTTTCTACCTCTGTTTGCTCCTTAAGCCTACCCAGTATCTCCTTTGCCAACTACCTAATACCCTATTATAAACCAACACATGTATTCGTCCTCTCGAGCTATACAGACAGTATCACTATCGCTACCATTATATACTACACCCCACAGTACATGAACACTGTTTCACATTACCTTGCCGGATCTCTTCTTTCCACAAAACCGACCATATCTCGCAAACTTGTTACACTCACACCCTTAACCAAGCAACATAATCGTAATATTTCCAACCTACTAACCAAAACGTTCTTGTATCCTTTTCCTCCCAATATATAGTTTGTAGTTGTATAAAATAATCAAAGCGGAAACTTAAAATTTATCGGATTGGAATCAGAAAAAAGTCGTAATCCCGTATATTGTCGTTGGGCCCATCTCTACGGGGTACTTCTCTGAAATCCATAGAAACCTTTATACCATTCCCTCAGTATACGCAACGTTCCTTGTATTCCGTAGACCCTTTGCAGATGCTTTCCACCCTTCTAAATCCCTTGTTGGACTATGGTCGGGTTGCTTTCCGTTTTGTCTGTTCTACACTGCTACTTCCCTAATTATTTGTAATAACCTCCAATATGGTATACCTTCATATTATACTTATTGTAAGATTCCGAATCAATCTGCGACACTCCAGAGGTGTCCTATCGACTTTCAATACAATCACTTCCTTCGCAGGCTTTGCTTTCCACACAGACTCGAAAGGGCTGGTTCCGCTTCAGGGACTCACAATAAATACCCCGTCAGACTCTATTTCCCATAATAGACTCGTAAAGACCAGTATTACTTTGAATTTATCGATTATAGCTTTTATTGTTGGATAGTTTTCATCTCCATTTCGCTGGTAATCCTCTATTCCGGGCTTATCGTAAGCGCTTTTATTACACTCAGCTGCAAATACCTTCAATACCAGTAAAAGCCTCCAATAAGTGTACAACCACCACCCAGCTCCAGCGACTCTACTTAGCTCTCCGAACACTAGTAAACTAGGTCGAAGGTTCGTAGGATACACCACGTACAGGTGAGAGTCTTCGCATCCCGGTAGCGTGGATAGAAGCGCGCGACAGGACTGAAACATTTCTTAGCAACATGCACTGTCCACTGAGTTTCATAAGTGCCATTGTTCCTACCTTGGAAGAACTTGAAATCTCTCCAGCGAAAAGCCAAAAGAGAGGTCCGAGTCCCAATGCGCCAAAATCGCCGGGAAAACGACAGGAAAATCGTCAAGGCTGGCCAATTGACGCCCCGAAATTGCCTGCAGTACCAAAATTAAGACCTTTCCTTCGACCAGGTGCCAAAGGTTCGGCCCCTTATCAAGAAGATCTTCAACGCTCGCCAATTAGCACTCCGATATTGCCTGCAGTACCAAAGTCAAGGCCTATCCTTCGAAAGGGTGCCAAAGTCCCTGTCCTATATCAAGAAGAAAATGTTGACTGGGAAGGGGATGTACCTATGGTTAATGTCGGCCAGAAACAAACCAACTCAGCATCCCATTATCAAGCGGAACCTCGTAGTCCCAAAAGGACTCAGAACTCGGTACGTGGGAAAAACGCATCTCAAAGCTCGGCAGACCGAGAGTCATTCTTTGCAGAATACTACAAATTAATTGGAGGATTGCGAGGCCCATTAAATCGTCTGCTCTACGACAAGGCAAGCTCTGCCAAAACAAAAGCCAAGACAGAAGTGATCAATCTTGGTCAAAAGCTCGTTGACGAATGCAAAAGAAAGAAATGGCCAACACAAGGTATTCTTCTCGCGAGAGATCTAGGTGAACTAGTCATCGGAGCAAAAGCTCTGAGAAGCGCAAGAGAAAAATGTTTGGACCACCCTGGAAGTCCGGGTCTTTTTCGATACGTTGAAAAACTTCAAAATGAGATCAAAAATACGTACGCTCCACCACTCGCCAACGCTATCATAGGAGATGTCTCTACTTTCATTGCAGAACGAATAGCTCGACAGTCCTCTTCAAACAAAATTCCTTCCGACAATGACGACGAGTTTATCAATAGGTGGGCAGCGCCAAAGGGGTATGTTTTGGAAGACGATATACAAAAAAAGGTCGTAGGCCAAAAACCTTCTGGACGAGGCTCCCAACTATTACTTAAATACAAAAAGCCCGAATTACAACCACCAATATATGAGTTGATTGCTGCAAGTACTTTCAAAAAAACGAATATCACAACTGTCCCGCAAATGGACATCCGGGGAAGGAATGGCTTGACAAATTATTATTGGGGTCAGTGTAGTATTGGCGGCGTAGCTCAAGTACGTACTACAAATGTGGTCACCCGTGATCCAGCAACCTATATCCTTGTACGTTGTGGTGAAGACACATGTTGGTACACTCGATCGAATTTAATTGCTGAATTCGGCAAACAAATCATCAAGGCCGAAGAGAAATTTCTCAGCTTAGCAGGTCAAAAGCGCAAAAAGGCTTCTTACAAAACAGTACCCAAAGAAACGTCTCAAGTTACGTATAGGAAATGGTATCAAGATCAAGTCAAAGCAGGGTCAAAAACAAATGTTGACAGCGAACATGAGGACGAAGATGAAGATGAAGACGAGGACGAATACGAGAAGGAAGATGAGGATGAGGATGAGGAGGAAGACGAAGAGGAAGATGAAGATGAAGATGAGGAAAGTGCTGCGTAAGTTTGTGTATGAATTTTTAGAAATCGAAACTAATATATATAGAGAATCCGATAACGAATTCATCAATGATTCACATATCTCTGGTAGATACTGACAAGCTGACAGGTATGGATATAAATATAAAGTACTTTGGGAGAATAGGATTTTGAAAGGTCTTGTAATCTTCGAAACTGTATACATTAAGAGTGTAAGTGTGGTTTCTAGAATTTTAAATAGAATGCATTGATTTTTGCAAATATAATAATATATATTTCAGTGTTCTTGTCAACTATAGATTTAACTTTGTGTAGAACAATCTGTAACTACAAATAGAAGCAATAATCTATTCACGTTATCTGCTTGTGTATTATAAACGAATATTGACAATATAAGTTTTTGACAATGCTGCAGATGAGAATATTGGGGTCTCAAAAGAAGAGATCGGCGGAGCAGGAAACAGGAAACGGGAAGCGGGAAACGGGAAACGGGGAACTGAGACCCGTTTTAGAATATCAAATACATATATAAATCGAGATGGTGGAAAGTAAGGGACCCAATTTAAATGTCTCTTGTACAGAAAGAAGATGAATCTTTCGAACTGTTACAACTCCTTACTAAGGCACAACAGCTTGTGGGAAGTGCAAGAAGTATCTAGGATAAACGCATTATCACAACAGAAAGTTTTGAAAGAATTAGGAGATGTGATGATGGGCGGCCAGTATCCATGGGAATCACTCGCGAATAGCCTCCGATTTCGTTATCAAGCCGGTCTGCTAAAACTAGAGGAGTTTGAGCCTGGCAATCTTCTCTACGAATGGAATGTTCTATGCGACGAAAAGCTCCACTGGGCGCGTCATCGCAGGCCATCCTTTGTCAGGTGGAATTTCAATCGCATGTGTCTGATCAATTTGAAGACAATCCCATCCAGGGGAAGACCGGGATATGAAGGCGAGATACATAGCATTTTATATACTAAAATATTGAACTAACGATTGAACAGGACGATGGATAGCAATGGGGAAGGTAGATGGGTTTGAAGAAGATTGTGTTGGGACAGGTTTGACCATAGGGGTCCCAAAAAGGAATGATGACGAAACATCCAAGTCCAACGATAGAATCCGCGCGGGGTATTTTTATCACGAAGGACCGGAATTTCGTATCGATTATCTTCATAACAGAGTGAAGTATTGATTTTTGATAAAGGGAATTCGAGAATCGCTAATAGTGATTCTTATGAACTTACTGGAGGTCAATCTTCTCGTGTGGCTGTTATTTACTTTAGTTGGTTCAACAACGTTGCCGAGATGTGGCTTATTACAGGTATATTGCTACAACAGCTTATGTACTCATTTACAAAAATACTGTAACTGGGCCTTAATTGAAAAGTGGTGAGTTCTCGATTTTAACAAAGATGAAAGTATATAAAGTGTCCCAGTGATTTCTCCACTTCGCCATTGCAACCGCTCCCACTCAATATCAGATACCCTCTAACAACCGAATCGCATCTTTGAGACTCTCCTGTGCAAGTCTTACAGATGCTTGTGCCCCAATCACAGTTCCTATAATAATTATATGCATTTGGTAGTTCTTTGTTCTGCCACACTCTTAACTAATCATCTAAGCTTATCACTACATATTCAATATCTTGACAATGACGTTGAATCCAACATAGCTTTTCGCATACAGGATAGGATTCTCGACTTTTCTCAAAGATTAGGTTTCGATGGAAAAGAAAGGGGAGGGATGTATGAGGCGTTGTTGTTGGTATCGTCAAAAGATGTCTGTGCTTTCTCCCAAGAGTGTTGAATGAGAATGGAGGTGTAGAAGGCTCCTTCAATTTATCATCTTTGTCGAAAATAACAATAGACTGATTGGATTCATATACGATGGTTGAAGATGATGGAGTAGGCATTGCATTCGCTGTTCTTGTAAATAAGACTTGTGTCGGCCAGTGGATTTTTAGATGAAGATCGTTGAAACACAGAGGCTTTGTATTGTTATAAATGATATAATTCTTCTAAAGATTTACCGATTTTCGAGTGCGGGTAGACCGGTGTCGGTAAACCGCTTTTCGAATTCGGGTATAGGGTGTGTGGTTTCGGCACACCGATCAAAGTCCAAAACGACTGGTAATGCCGGTGGAATGAATGATGGTTAATCATGTTGTATGCAGTATGATATTATGCAAAGCCCATAACCGGTTTTCCTGGATTCTTTGCAAAGTTCCTTCCAATCAACAATCAATGCCTGTACAATGCCATGCGAAACTGAAACTGGTTTTCCTGGATCCCGTGCATAATCACAACCAGTCTTGGAATCTCGTGCATATCTTGGTATTGCACTTGGGTTGGTAAAACAGAGTCTGAATACCGTAAATCCATCGATTTCGATAACGCAACTTTGTAACTTTCCAGAGAGTGTGAATTCACACCGTACACCAGTTTCGATAAAGCAGCGTTCTGGTCTTCAAGGTGTTGTGGTTTCATACCACTAAACCACAACACCAAATATTTGAATATACTAACTATATAATCACTGCTAAGACATATATAATGGCTTTGCTTTAAGATGCTTCAAAGTGGGGCAGAGCGGGACAGAGCGGGGCAAAGCAGTCACTCCATAACACCCGAGGTTTTCCTTCTAGAAATTGTTATCGGTCCAAATCCGCTCATGATATTGGAATTTCATGTTAACAATGTTCTATACTATACTAACATCATTATAACTTACATTATCTCATTTCACGATTGTACGTCAAAACGGGCCCGATAAGCACATCAATGCCAAAAGGACCGACACTGGGGAACTTGGGTTAGTGGTTCCCCGGCTAAAATGGATAGCCCACACGCTAGAAATCTCTGTCCTCTGTTAGGATTCGTGACGGATACTATCGGGAACATTGACGGTACAAATTGACTTCAGGTAATCAAGTATTCGGTCTTCTCTTCTCTTGTTTATTCAATCATTCTCAAGATGGTTCACGAAGTAGAAAACAACAAGAGTGTCATGATTGAGGCAAGAGATGATGCTCAATTGGTGAGTTATATATTTGTATGATATCAATGAAAAGACATTCAGCTGATCTTATCTAGGAAACTCTTGGCTATAAACCCGTGAGTTCAATATTTATTCAAAAATACAATATGAGGGTATGTACAACGACTCATAGATGTTATCAATAGGTTCTACATCGAACATACAATCTCTTTGAGAATTTCTCAACATCATTCGCTGCTTTGTACTTTGTTGGAGGTGTGAGAGTCACTTACACCACCGGAATCGCCTCTGGAGGACCATTAGCTTATTGGTTAGTTGTACGCCTAATAAATCTAGACCATTACATTTCTAAACTTTTTTGCAAATCCAGGACGAGTTATCTCGTGACATGCTTCTTCACATTTATTACTGCAGCAGTAATAGCAGAAGTTTGTTCTGCATCTCCCTCTGCTGGTTCCATTTATCTTTGGGCAGCTGAAGCTGGAGGCCCCAAGTATGGTCGACTTCTAGGATTTGTAGTTGCTTGGTGGAGTACTACTGCTTGGATGACATTTTGTGCGAGTAAGCTCATTTCGTATCTATCACCACTGGAGTTCCTCTAATGACTTGCAGGCAATACCCAAGGAGCAGCAAATTACATGCTTTCGGTAAGTTCCCATGATGTCACTACGCTTCTACGAGTAGTGATTGCCATTTTGGACATCATCTAATTTTGCCAGGAACTCGTTGTCTTCAATGTGGACTTTCCAACGGATACCAGCGATATTAAGTTCCGAGCAGTTCAATGGATTTGTACTGAAGTCCTTCTTGCATTAGCCGCAATCCTTAATTTCCTACCACGTGAGTTGCTCTGTGATATAAAATCATCGTCGAAACCCTGACATTTGGAATAGCTCGTCTTTTCAAGTATGTTTTCTGGATCTCGAGCTTTTTGGTCATGCTTGACTTTGTTCTCAACATCATCTGGTTACCAATTGGAGCTGCCAGGACCATTGGTTTCCGTACTGCAGAAGAGGCATTTATGACAACGTACAATGGAACTGGGGCACCCGCTGGGTGGAATTGGTGTCTATCCTATCTTGCTACCGCAGGTATCCTTATCGGATTTGACGCATCTGGACATGTCGCCGAGGAAACCAAAAACGCTTCAATCACAGCCGCTAGAGGTATCTTTTGGAGTGTAATTGTGAGTGGGATCGGAGGATTTGCGACAATCATCCTGTTTCTGTTCTGCACACCTGATCCGGAAACTTTATTCTCTTACGGTTCGCCTCAACCGTTCGTACCTCTTTATGCTGTCGTTTTAGGACAGGGTGGCCACGTCTTTATGAACATTATTGCAGTAGTCGCACTTTGGTTCAACACAGCAATTGCCATTGTAGCCGCATCTCGACTAGTCTTCGCAGTAGCTCGTGATGGTGTTCTTCCATACTCGGGGTGGGTATCACGGGTATCTCCCGAAGGTCAACCTCGCAATGCTGTCCTCGTCATCTGGGGTTGCGCCTCAATTGTGACCTGCACAATCTTACCATCTGCCGTCGCATTCACATCTCTTATTTCTGCTGCTGGTGTTCCTTCGGCGGCCGCATATGGACTCATTGCTTTTGGAAGACTTTTCCTAACACCACATTCATTTCCCAAGCCAAGGTGGAGTTTGGGTAGATGGAGCAGACCATTTCAATTCATCTCGATCTTTTGGAACGGTTGGGTTGTGGCAATTCTTTTCAGCCCTTATGAGTTCCCTGTCACTGGGGCCACCTTGAATTGTAAGTACCCAAATTCTTTCCAGAACAATCACCACTTGGGTATGTACTAATAACCCACAGACGCGCCAATCATCATGGCAGGAGTAACAATCTTAGCCCTCATATCCTGGTGGTTCACCCCCGTAGGAGCATGGCTTCCCCGAGAACGCATATCACATTTCGTGGAAAGTGAAGGAGTGCCAGCAGAAGGGCTCCGACAAGAATCCGATGAACAATCTCCGGTACCCGAGATAGAAGGGGATGCGATCCCAGCTAATTATTCTGAGAAGTGAGATGCTCGATGACCGCTTTGAACATTACTGAAGGACTGAGATGCTGATCTTTGTTCTGTGTCACGAAGTGGGAAACTTTTAGATAGGACTCTCCAACAACAAACATTTCTTTAAAAATAATAATTAATATTGGTGCGTGAGTAGGTTTCGAAGAACGGACATATTGAAACATACATTCGAGAAAGGTTAGATATCAATAGAATAATAATGAATGGGCATTTCAATGCAGCACACCTTCAGCAGACAATTGAGTATTCGCAGGGAATCCAATATTCCGGACTGTAGTCCAATCAAGGGATATTCTTCGATTCATGGGTCTATTTTACATGTCGAATTTGCACCCCAAGCAAACTTCTTTGGGCCTAACTAGCACATTACCTTACGTAAAGTAAAGCCTTAGTTAGGCCCAAAATGTGTAAGGTAATGTGATAGAAAAAAACAATTCGCTAAAAAGAAACTATATATAATTAAAGATAAAGTAAATTTGTTATATCACTATTGGATTTCTTAATGATTTTTTTCTATTGAGTTTTCGTTTATAAAATCAAAATTAATAAATATCGAGTATATTTGAGATTATTTATTATTATTAGAGATAATCTTAGATATCAAGCGATTATCTCAATAAGAATTGAGATAAAAAAGTTATTACAGATATTTTGAAGATATTGAGATTATTTCAATATTTTTAAGATTATCTTTATAAGAATTGAACTAATAATATTATTTTAGATATATTAAAAACTTCGAGATTATTTCAATATTCTTATTATTTCCAAAAATATTGAAACAAAAAGATAATTTATAGTCTTTGATTATCTTAATCTTTTTAAGCTTATCTCAATATATTTAATATTATTTTTATAAGAATAGAAATAAATAGATAATTTAAAAGTCTTTGATATTATTTTAATATATTTAAGATAAACTCTATATAATCGAATATAATTCAAATAATATTATCAATTGATTATATTCACTAAATACTTCTAGATTTTATTTATTAGATTCTATTCTTTCACTTTTTTATTTTTTATATAATAAACAAAAAATGTATTATTAGAATATTGGAATACTTCTGTATAATAAACTTCAATTATTATCTATAGATTAATATGTCTTTTAAATCGAAATCAAAATTGACAAAATACTATTAGCAATATTTTCTTTTTTTAAAGATTTATTTGATTAATCTATCTTTAGATTTTGATATCTATATATAAGTAATATATACTGCTGGATACAAAAATGCTTTTTTATTTAAAAGATATTCTTTTCTTTTGATATATTTCGAATTAGATCTTTTCAAAGCAAAATATATATAAAAGTTGTAACAAAAGTTATTCGATATATTAATAAAAGTTCTGTAAAGTTTAGATAATACCCAGAAATCGTTATTGAGAAATTTATTATATTTAAAAACAAAATCTATATATTATACAAAATATCATATTTTTCTAAATCAGTTTTTGAATTCAAATATTATTAAAGTATTATAGAAACTATTCAAAGATTTATTCCTTTCTATACCCATTATTGATATCAAACCTGATTCATCAAAGCTTTTTATTACTAATAAAGATAATTCTTTTTCGGCCTTCTTCCAATTCAAATCCCCTTTTATCAATTATTACAATGTATATCTTTTTTCGGCCCTTTCCCAACTCAAATCCCTTTTTATTAATTATTATAATGTGTATCTTTCTTTGGCCTCTTCCTGACTGTGACCAAAAGGGTATAAACAGGACT